AGGATCCCAGCTCCTCACACACCATCGTTGGTGATGCAGGTTGGGCTCAGGCCCGTGATGCACTGGAAAGGAAGCTGTGCTCTGACAGTGACCACAGAGATGCCTGTTGAGGTATCTCAGGTTTTCTAGAGAGGGGAGTTCTCTGTACAGAAACATATTCTCCTTCCCTGGTGTTTTCTGACTTCTCTTCATCTGCAGTGCCCTGGGTTGCTTTTTGGTTTGCTTTTATTTATTTTAGCTAGGGGGAAATATTCAAGATTTCTGGTTTTATTTGTGAGGATTCAGATTTATTTGGAATTCTGTGTATTTTTAGTGGTGTAAATATCCTTTGGCACCCGCGATAACTTGAGCAGGCAGAAGGGATTTATTTCAGGGTATCTTGTTTCGGAGGAGCTCAGGGCAGCTTGGCAAGTGTTTGCAGTAACATTTATCTGCTCTGAATGGACGAGCTGCTTTGGAACAAGGACTAAATGTAAAGAGCCCCTTTTTCTTACTGCAAACAGTAGTTGCTCTGAGTTTTGCTTAAGAGAAAACAGTAAAAGCCAGATCAAATTGTGGGGGTTTAACCCCAACTGTCTGCCAAGGTTGCCAGAGTTGTGTGTGATGTCAGCTGAGTTTCAGCCTCGGACTGTCTCTGATGCAATAAATGCTGGATTGAATCCTGTTGCACTCCAAAGAGGTGTTACAACAAATCCTCTTGCTTTTTGCTTTTCTCCTTCTTTTTAAGGAGGGGGGAAAACCACCCAAAGCACAACAAAGCTGCAGCTTTCAAGGGAGAAATCCTCTTTAAAAGTTGCCACAACTTCTCCAAACGCTGAATGCTTTTATTAACTTCCAGCAAGGCTCTGAAGAGCTGCTTTCTTCCTCGGCTCAAAAGCACTCATCTAAGTGGCCAGGCTTTCTTCCCATCCAGGCTGGTAATTGTGGAGTAGCAATTCCTCTGCAACACGTTTGGTGATGAAAGAATAGAAAAATGGGGAGGAGAAGGGAATAAAAGACCACCTTGGGGGAAGGTAAAAGAGCTGCTCTGTGTGGTTGGAAGGTAGGAGGGTTTCTGCCTCCCTTTCTCTGCCTTCAACCCATTTCATCCCACACCTCCAGGTGGAAACAAAGCAGGGCCCAGCGCTGGGTGCTTGTGTGCTGGGTGCTTTAGTTGTGTGTGAAGGGGATATTGAAGCAGCAGAGCTTTGGCTCTTTGTTGCAGGAGGAGGAACAGGCAGCGTGGCAATGGTTAAGGCTCCAGGCTATGCTCCGAGAGGCTGAGCTCCCCATGTCCACAGGGATCTGGGATCAGCCTGGCGGTGGGAAACACCAGGGTTATTCCTGGGGTGAGCAGGGAGATGTCATCACCCGCTGCTGTTTGGTGCCTTCTGGATAGGGGAGGGTGAACGTTCTGCCCTGGCCCCAGCAAGGTTTGGGGTTGGCAGAGCTGGTGTTGCTCACCCAGCACCAGCCTGGAGGCTTTGCTACACAGAAATGGATCTTACAGAGACGTTATTATCTACTGCACTGGGGTTTTGCTAGCAAAAAATAGGACACAAAGCTCCCCAACAGGCAGACCAGGGCTCTGCACAGCCCTTTTTGAGGGCTGCAGGAACATGGACCAGTCCTCATAAGGATGATTTTAGGGTTTTTTACCAGTCCCTTTTAGTTTCAGGTCTGGAATGTCTTCCTCTGATCTTACTGCCTCAATGGTATGAGGCCAGCCTGCTTCTCCAGTGTCAATATTAGCTCAGATGCCTTTTTGTTTTCCTCAGTGGCTATGGGCTTCTCCTGCAAAGCCTAAAGTGAAGGGGTTGGTGTTGCTGGGTGCCTGCGAGTGAAACCAGGGTGCTGCTGCTGGGGCAGTTGGGCACAGACTTGGTACATGCTTTTCCTACGTGACTGATTTAGAGCCAGGACTCGCTATTGTCAAAATCAAGGAAGAATTTCTCCTGGGGGCTGGAAGCAGGAACGGAGCCATTGCTGAATGCTCCTTTGGGCTAGAGCTGAGAGCAGGGCAGGAGAGCCCAGAGGGGCCAGCGCTTGGGTGCAAACGTCTTGGTGCTGGGTTGACACATCCTCATGTATTAGCAGGGTGCAGAAAACGCTCCTCCTGATGGACTGGTGTTAAATGGCAGGGAATGGCCCAAACCGAGGTTTCTTTAGAAGGTGCACAAAATGTTGCTAACCCCACCAGCAGTGTCAAGACACAAGGGACTGCCCAGGGACATGGGCTTGCAGAGGCTGTATTAATAAACCTCCTCTGCAAAGAATGTCCTAGCTTGGAAAAGACTGAGACCATCATTAACACTGTCTTGTAAGGTGAACTGGGGCTGTTTCACAGCAAGGGGTGTCATTAATACAGCATATTAATAACCTGACATTACCAGTCCAAGGAATGCCCTGGTCCAGCTGCTTTGACAAGGCCACCTCATTAACTTGATAGCTCTTCTTGTCATTCCTCTCTGTTTCTTTTTCTCCCAGGAGATCTAAATCGGACCTTTTCTGGACTTTTCCCTGCCAGCCCCTGGGCACCTAAAGCCCTCACCCCCCCCCCCG